TCTGCAACAATAAGATAGTTTTGTTTGCGAAGAGATCTAAATTAAAGTTATTTACTACAAATTTTCATTCTGGCTCCGAAATATCTTTTGCACTGTGCACATTTAAATGAATTGACTTAACAAATGACATGCAGAGAACCAGTTATTTTTGACTTCACTGACGAGTTGAATTAATATTCACATGAATTAATTATGATATTTCAAGGTGCCTTATGTCATTTTTAAGCTCGACTCGACAGCCCTGATGTCCATTCACTATCATTGTATGGAAAAGATAAGCATTGACAAAATTCTGCAAAATATATTTTTGCATTCCACATATAGGACAGGAAAACATTAGGGTTAGGGTGAGTAAATGATGACAGTATATTTTCATTTTTGGGTGAACTGTCCCTTTAAATGCATTGCTCAAAGGAACAATGGAGACAGTTCACGGTTCACCTGTTCTCTGCTGTACAGACCAAATTGGACCAGCATGAATTTCATAGTTTGGTGCTTGTCTAGATATTGGGCCAATACTTTTAAGCAAAACACAATGCTGGTCAACCAGTATTGTCTTTCTAATAAGGCTGGTTAACCAAGGGATGCTTGCTTTGATAAGGGAGTTAAAATACAGGTACAGACACTAGCATTCAGGCATCAAAAGGTCTTTTAGGACAGTGGTTTGAACCTACAATCTATAAGCCCAACACCTCAAAACCCCCCAAAATCTGCTATGTCTTATGGTGGACCAGAATGCATCAGTTATGGTCTTCCAAACAATGCACTGTCCATCTAAACCCTGAGTTTTGATAAAATACAACACATTATGCAAAATGTGAACACAATTAGATCAGTTACCACAACAACATGTATGAACTGTCACTTGGACAAGACTTGACGTACATTGTTGCATCAGCTGAGACTAAAAACAACAGTGATAGATACAAAAATAGCTGACATGACGAGCTGAACTGTTTAAAGAGCTAAACCACATTAATTACGGATACGTAAAACAATTATCAGATACTGTCGAATGAAATATAAAAAAGACAGTGTAAATAACGCTTACCAAACGATTCGAAATTCTCTCTTCTGTCATTCACGCCCAGCAGATCAACCCACTGCCTGCCCCCCGCAAGGCTCTTTAAACCTGCTGTCTATCAGAAAGGACGTGAATCCTCCGCTTTATTATCAACCATATCCTGTATTTACTTTCACAAATACACACTTTTGAATTAAATATAACTAAACGCCACCCGGGAAAGAGGAGTTACGCAATGCGAGGACGAAATGCCGGTTAATCTCGCGCTGGAGGGTGTTTATAGTAGGGCAGGTTGCCGCTCCGCAAAGCTGTTGCCATGAAAAATAGCGGCGTTCGGTTTCGGGAATGCGCGTACAGCGGAGAATTTTACGCATACGGCGTAGAGTCGTGACGTCATGACGTTTATATCATAAGGGTCCGTTATGTCTAGGTTTTGTTTTTGCGATATTATTTACCATTACTGTGTCAGGGTTATTACCGTTAAATATATATATATATATATATTTATTTTACCATTTTGTTTATTGAGATAAAATAAAAAAATCGCTGTTCTTTTTAATCAATGAATCCTAAAGGTACCAAACAAATATTAAGCAGCAGAACTGTTTACAACATTTATATTAATAAATCATATAAGAATGGTTTCTGAAGGATCATGTGACACTGAAGACTGGAGTAATGGCTGATGAATATTCAGCTTTGCAGCTTTCCACTACTTTAAATTGTAACAATGTTTCACAATACTGTTTTTATTATATTTTTTTTATCAAATAAATACAGGCTAGATGAGCATAAGATCAAAAACATTAAAAATAGCAATGTTTCCAAACCTTTGAACAGCATTATATACTGTATGTATATGATGAAAAAATTAAGACTTATTTCAGCAATTGTCATATAGTTTAACTGGAAATAAAATTAATAAAAAATAAAACTCAACAAAAAACTAACACTGAAGTAAAAAGACATTAAACCCAAAATAGTCATATTGAAAAATGAAAATAAATATGACAAAAAAAATTTAATAAAATTAAAACGGTCTTTAAAAAAAAAGCTAATTCAAAATATGTATACAACCTACAATAGTATAAACACTACAATAACAATTTAATATTGAAGTGAACGGAACACAATTATAACGGATTTACCATTTTTCACACTATTTTTGATCGATCATTTTATGTTTATGGACAGATTATGAACAAATCATTTAGAACAGTTTTGACTTAAATTTCAATCATATTGCTTGAGAAGGCTTGGAATATGCAGTAGGACACGAGTCATATGGACCCATCCTTAAATAGTTTTACAGTGTCAAGAGCTTGACAAGCCCAACACAAACCTACAACAAAAGCACACTGAAACCACAGCGCCTTTTTCAAAAAGAGTTTTCATTACAATTCAAAGCAAATCAAAGTCTTCTCTCTTGTCTTAACCCTGAAAGGATGGATGACAGAGAAGTCACTTTCTTCCTCGACCTTCTAATCCTGGCGCTCTACAGTTTGAACCGTTTCCTGTAGTTTGTAAGCTTGGCATTGGCCAAACTGTTCTGAAGCGTCACTGGAGATTCGGCCATGTTGTGATCCAATGACAAACTGTGTCTGATGGCACAGAAGGATGGCAGGGTAAATAGCTGTGTGAAATGTTGCATCGTCCACCGGAATGAATCTCTGATGCCCCGTTGCTTTCATCCACACTAACCCTCACAATCTCCTCCACAGCTTCTCAACAACATCCACACACCTCTCAAGCCTTCGCCTGGTGTGTGGTGGCTTCTTTAAGTGTTTTGGGAAGTTAAAGATGGTGGGAACAGCAGCTGAAGGCGCACTTTGCCCAGACGAGTTGTAAAGAAACAGATATCTTCAAAGTGGACAGAACATAGGCGAGAATAAGGAGTTGGCTTCCTCTTGTCCCGCCTGATATTTATTCACCAGCCACTGCTTCAGCCTGCTCTTATCATCTAAGGGAAACTGAAGGAGAGATAAAGAAATAGACAAGTGGATATATATATATATATATAGAGAGAGAGAGAGAGAGAGAGAGAGAGAGAGAGAGAGAGAGAGAGAGAGAGAGAGAGACTTATTCAGAAGACTGGATCAACCGATTCACTGAAAGATTCAAAGATTCGATTCAAAAGAAGCATCGCTGAATGCACATATTATTTCGTTCGTTACAACTGTTAAAATGTGATTTCATATAAGATGTACAGCTGGTTAAAAAAACATTCTGTTTTAATAAATAATCAGTTTACTTTTAATAAAAACGTCACCCAGCGGAAAACGTTTTTACATAAATATTGGCAGAAAAATTGAATGTGAACTATGCCTTCTTATTTATGTATTTAGTTTTGTTTTGATTGTTTATGTTCTGTTATTATTTGTATGTTACCTTTTCTGCAATTAAAAAATAAATAAATAAATAAATAAATATTGGCAGAAAGAAATCATAAATAAAAGTCAAATCATTCATAAATCATAAAGTAAATATAACTTACCGAAAAAAATGTACACTACAACCTTGTGAGTGGCGATTTGTACAATTTATAGCAGCGCACGGCATCATAAGCTACAAGTTGAAAGCAATGACTAAAAATATAAAACTACAGAAAAATACGAAGGCATGCACAAGAAATACTTGCTCTGGAACTTCTGTCGTCTGACAAATCGATTCTTTCCGCCTCCTACTGGACTGGAGTGTAGAGAGTCAGGATGTGGTTGAATGAAAAAAACACAATAAGTATTGTCACAGTATCATAAAAATTATCCATACGAGTCCGCATATCTTCTGAAGCCACAATGACTTGCGTGAGGAACACACAGAAGTTAAATTAGTTAAATCACCCAGTTATATTAAAGCCTTCCCTGGTTCTACCGTAGATATCCTGCCATTATTTAATGAAACAGCGCCATCCAGTGACGGATAGCCTTCACTGCAGCGCTGCTGCATTATGTCTTGTGTTCATTTCCGAATTATAAACTTTTATAAAGACTAAATCGGACGCAGAATGCAGAAAAGAGAATTCAAAGATTTTGACTTTCAAGATAGGTTTATACATGTCTCATTAAAACTCAGTGGAAAACTATGTATGCTTAGTAAAATAACGTAGCCTAATAAAATTAGATTATTTCAAGGCATTTTCTATCAATTATCATTTTTATGAAAAACATAAATTATACATTAAAAAGACGTTTTTTTCAAGATTTACCTATTTAGATGAATATTCATTACATATTAGGCTATTCATTAGGCTATAGTAAAGAATTCTAAATGAGTTAAAAAAAAATATTTATTTTGTAAAACAATCTTGAACTTAAATTTAAAAATAGGATTTTATTTTTTTATCTTTTACGTATGAATATGAATCACATAAACTGAATGGTTCATTCCCTTGTTCCAGATTTATTCGAAATGTTTTATTAAGCTCTAGTTTTTCTTACTCATTTAAAATAGGCTACTTAATAAAAAGTAAGGATGGTTTAATTCAATTTGATGAAATGCGTACATTGCTAACTGTTTTTAGTGTATCTTGATATTTTCTTTAAGAAAAAAAAGCAGAGAAAAGAAATGTTCAGATCACAGGCCACTGAAAGAATGCATCGAAACGTTGATATTAATAAAATGTCTCCATATTCACACACATAATCTCCACAAAGACACTCTTCATGTCATTCTATAAATAAAATAAAGAAATAATCTAGGTTGTCTTGCTGTATACTGACTGGCACATTTAATAGCCGATATAATTGCATTAAATATTGCATGTTGTTTGGGTTTAGGGGTTCATGCTTTTATGATTACAATGACAGAAGAGACTTAGGCCTACTTTCCTTCTCAAACTAGGAAAGGACCATTTTAATGCTCCTCTGACCGAAAACATCTCGTCATGCACGTTCACGTCAGGGTCACGAGGGTCATCTTTAAAATCCTTCAAACAAACAACTTCAGACTTCAGTGATGACATCAATTCCTGGATGGCAGCACGGCTCTAATTCCACTTCCACGCCGGATTTCTAAAACAGGGGTGGGGGGGCTGGCAAATAGACAACAACACCGGATTGAGGAAATTGACGAGGGCATACTATGTGCAAAACAAACTTGTTTAAAGCTGACAGGCATGCAGCACGAGCTGTTTCATTCACTGTCCCATCTAAGAAGAGAACAGCTCCTCCCTAGTGCACAGCATCCAGCGTGGGGTTCGCTATCGCTTCCAGTCATGCGTTTTTACGCGATCCCAGTGTTCCTGTTGATAGTGTTTGGAGGTGCTGACGCGTGGGGTCCCGGGGGTAAATACGCCGTCCACTGCCCGGACAGATGCTCCACCGCGCAGTGCGGCTCGACGCAGCGCTGCAGGCGCACGGTGCTGGATGACTGCGGGTGCTGTCAGGTCTGTGCTGCGGGACGGGGAGAGCACTGCTACCGCACCGTGTCCGGGATGCACGGCGTCAAGTGCGGACCGGGACTCTTCTGTGACTTCTACAAGGACGAGGATGATTATGGAGATGAATATGGCATCTGTAAAGGTACAGTCTGCTCTGCTGTGTGCACCTGTTTAGGCAGATGGGATTGTGCATGGGGGGAATCCACTTATTCAAAGTATTCAATGATTTTGTAATCAGTGATGTTTTCAGGATTAACACAACTCAACTTAAAATCAAATGCAACTTTCAGAGCAAGAGAACACTTTAAAATGATTTTAATTAAGGTGACATGAAGACATGTCCAAAGAGATGAATCACAGATCTTCTCTTTATTTAAATCAAATAATTGAATATATATTTATCTATATTCTAGGCTAAATATTTGCTCTATATAAATCATATATATATATATATATATATATATATATGATTATATAAATATATAAATATATTTCACAGATCATCTCTTTATATAAATCAAATTATTAAAAAAATATATATATATATATATATATATATATATATCAATTTACATGAAATATATTATATTTCACAGATCATCTCTTTATATAAATCAAATTAATGAATCTATCTATCTATCTATCTATCTATCTATCTATCTATCTATCTATCTATCTATACTCTATATATTTACTCTATATAAATCAATTTACATGAAATATATTATATTTCACAGATCATCTCTTTATATATATATATATATATATATATATAAAATTTGTATAAATGTGAATTTGTGTTTATAAATTAATTATGTTCACAGATGTTCTAATGAAACACTGTTTATTCAAATTTAAGTTATGTTATAATATTTTATTCTATTATTTTGATGTTTTTATTATGTATTCCATGGTTTGGTAATATTGTATTATTTACAGTCCTGCCAATTAAGCTATTTTAAATTTGATATATATATATATATATATATATATATATATATATATATATATATATATATATATATATCAAACCTTAAATATTGTGTCTCATGGTCAATATACTGTAGTTTTCATAAAGGCTTTAAAAAAAGAAGAATCATAAAGGAATTTCAAAACAATTTGTATAGAAGAAACTATGCGTATGCATGGGAAAAACAAATATTATAACAAAATGATTACAAAATCTTTATAATGTATTGTATAATGTCTGTTAACTGTCCTCACAAATTGAGAATTGATTGTTGAATAGCTAATGTATCACACAGCTTCAACTCACCTGTTCAATGCAGATTTTTTTCTTTTTAGGGTATTCAAATATTTACCAAAAGCCTCATGTTAGCTGGAGTTTTTTGTGTGATCTCAGGTTACAGGTTAAAGAACAGTTCAGCATACTAAAGAAAACTCAACCCCAGAGTGTCTTTTCAGTGGAGTCCTTCTAGGGCCCCTCAAATTATCACTTAATGTATTATGTAAGGACAACGTGAGTTGGTGAATGAACACTTTGTATTATCCCTCCACACCAATCCCTCACACTCGGCCCTTTAATCGAGTGTTAGATGTAAGTGAGCCTTTCTGATCCTTTTGCACTTTATACACAAATAGTGGATCAGCAATTAGCAAACATCTTCAAAACGAGAGTATTTGCCAATGACAAGTGGAAAAGTCATGGCAAATATTTACCTCCGGATTCTGTACTGGCTAAATTAGCTGTAACATGTCTTTTTTTCCACCTCTTATTAGAATGCACGTATGGGACGTATGGTATGGAATGTCGGAAAGCATGCAACTGTAAAGCAGGTGGACTGTGTGACAGAGAGACGGGTGCTTGTCTGTCCTTTAAATTCTTGGCTAAAATGGCCATGCTGAAATCTCATTCAAATGAAGGTGAGTTTATTGTTTAGTGATTCATTTTAATGATACATTTTTAAAAAATCACCTTTGATATGTGTCCTTTGTTATGATGTGAAAGTGTGTAGAATATTATTTGTATTAAATATTGTTTTAATCACATGACAGGTAATGAACTGGGCTCGGGTGACACGAACACTGAAACCAGCAGCAATCGGTCCTCCGCTCGCAATTTCCTCCCCCCTCGCTGACAGAAACTCACACTCTTCAGTTTAGTTAGTGTACATGTAGCATAATATATTCAAGGAGCAAACGGATTTATTTTAATATGTTTAAAAGGAAGACGATATGTTTTATTCTGTATATTTTACATATGTGTATGCCAGTTATGTATTTATTCCAAAGCATGTCTCCATGAAGTCACACTCACACACATATATGCAATCATCGATTAGAGATTAGTGACAAAATAATAATGTTCCCTCAGAAACGTATAATTATGCTTAGATGTTAAAATGATGGTTGAACTGAATGAACACACACAAACACTTTTACATTATGAATGTATTGCAATTAAACATGCAGCAGTGTTTATATAATCATATTTAATGACAAACACATTCTAAGAGTATATACCAGGCTCAGTTCCAAGACTGATCAGCATTAGCATCAGTTATGACTTCACATATTTGACCGCATGGTCTCTTTAATGCTAAACAGTGAGGTTTTTAATGTGGTATATTAAGGCCAGATTGTTATAATTTATGGACTGTATATCCTTCCAATATGTTTGTGAATTATTATGTGTAAATCTTTGCTTTAAACCCCCATTGAAAGAGATAATATGAATTCTTACAACTTTATGTATGAGATTTAAATTAAAACCATGTCATTCTGAGAAAAATTATCCCGGTTTATTTTCTTTTTTTTTTCAAGTTTTTAAAGTGGAATCTCTTTTTAGAATATTTTAAAAGTGTGAAAACGAATGATAACTGTGATAACTATGTTATGTATTATGTTTAAATATACACACATACATGTACATATAGGCTACATTATATATTGTATATATGAAGAGTTCAGATGCAAAAGCCTCTAAATGTCATTTGAAATTTTCTTCTTTAATGATGATTTTTATCAAGCTTGTATATTTAAGTTCAGTAATTTCACTTAAATAACAATTAATAGGTAATTATTATTGCCATTTAAGTGAAATCACTGAACTTAAATATACAAGCTTGATAAAAATGATCATTTTAGAAGAAAATTTCAAATGGCACTTAGAGGCTTTTGCATCTGAACTCTTCATATATATATATATATATATATATATATATATACAGACACACACATGAACACATACACATGGACACATATATAGACTCACCTAAAGGATTATTTGGAACACAGGAACATACGAATACTGTGTTTGACCCCCTTTTGCCTTTAGAACTGCCTTACGTGGCATTGATTCAACAAGGTGCTGAAAACATTGTTGGCCCATATTGATAGGATAGCATCTTGCAGTTGATGGAGATTTGTGGGATGCACATCCAGGGCACGAAGCTCCCGTTACACCACATCCCAAAGATTCTCTATGCTCTACTGTGGGGGCCATACAGCAGTTTTTATGCTGCATTTTAGTACTCAGTGTCATGTTCAAGAAACCAGTTTGAAATGATTCATGCTTTTTGACATGGTGCATTATCCTGCTGGAAGTAGCCATCAGATAAGAAACGAAAAACACATTATATAAAGGTAATAAATTGATTAGCATTTGATCAAGTGAAATAAGTATTTAATAGGAGCTTGTTAACCCTTTATGACCTGCCATAGAACAGTTCCAGAGTATATCTTTCTATTTTTACATGCTGTGCTGTCATTCTTTTGAGCATTTTCATATGCCATACATCAAAATAATCCTTACTTTCTCTACTTGAAGGCTATGTTTGTAAAAAATCAATAGTAGCTAGATAAATATCTCAAAAATGCAATAAACAAAAAGAAAAACAATTTTTTTAAAAAAAATTCTACATATTTTATTCAATACAAAAAAATGATAAATGTAAACCTCAAACTTGTCAATGAGAAAAATGTGCATAAAACAGTTTAAAACTATACAGAATTGATTTGAACTGTTTACATCAATTAGTTTTTAAGATACACTCATTTAAAAAAGGGGAGTAAAATGCCATATGTAAAATATTCAATTACATTTGTGGTCAAACAGATAACATTTTGCTTTTGAACATTGATTGAACATTGAATTGGTTAGAATATAAATTAAATAGACCCTGTCAGAACAATTAATAATAAAATAAATATAAAATAAATAAATAAAGGCGATGAGCAGACGGAACTCGGTGCGTCCGTGTACTTTCATTTTGACATAACGTTGCGCGCATGCGCGCACGTGTGTGTGTGGGGGGGGGGTGCGTGTGTGTGAATGTGCTTGTATTTGCGAGTGTATACATAGTTCCCACATGACGTCACAACATACGGGCATTTGCCGACCCGGCGCCATTGCTGAGGGCAAAACATAAGAAGAAGCAATACGAGTTGAACGAAGTGAAATGAGTTTCGTGCTATAAAGTGAAAATGGTCATCTCCTGCTGAGTCAATGGATGATAAAATCGTGCCGGAGGTTCAGTTAAATCGGGATTTTACACTATACCCGTCATTAGACGGATATGGATGTGAGAAGACTAAGCTTTTGTCCGAACAACGATGGAGATTATGGCTGGCGAGCATAAACAGGAAAGAAACTCACTCAAAAACACGCACGAATTTGTTTGACAAAAGCACAATGTTGTGTTTTATTGCGAGTGTAAATAAATATAAGTTAACACGTTGCAGTTTGAATAATGTCCTGTATGAACAAAATGACGAGGTATTAAAAACATACAAAACAACATTGTTTCCACTGTTTGATCTCACATTCCAGCATTGCAATCTCAGATTATGTCCCTAAAGATCCCGCGTATAATGTAGTTCCTCATTTATTACATTAATTAAATTGCACGCGAGTTATTTATTTTAATATTCATGCACCGAACCATGACGCCCGCAAGTACATGCATATTACAGAAATCACCGGTGACTGGGGAACATAGGAATTAAGTTGTGCAGGCTATGGCTTTTTAATAGACAGATTAGCATCATGCTACTTCGCTATGATGACTTAAGTTACTTTTCCATCGTACACCTCCAGTGATTTCCAGGCTTGGAATTGCTCACATGTGTAAAAACTCCTCACCAATACCAGATAATTGTACACATGAAAATACTGTATCTGAGGCAAAGTTGCATAATCGGTGCTCAGTGCTTCTTTTGTTGCATAAGGATACACACCATTTATGAATGAAATTTTCGCATTGTACCTCTCTATGTCTTGTTTTAATAGTCTCTTTATAATCTATTACACTTTGTCTTTTCATGATTTGCATAAAAATATAAACAGACATAAATATTTGTTTGTAAAACGACATTCTCTGATAAAACGTTGTAAACGCCTATGGTAAACACAGCGGTTTTGCCCTCAAAGATGGCGTCTCCGGGGAGGTCACGTGACAATTTTTTTGCCTGTGGGAACTATGTATAAACGAGAAAGAAATGATAGAATGAAGCAATGGTAAAAAGACAATAATGATAAGGATCAACATATAGCAGATGGGAGTCAAGTGCGAGTCAAACCTATTATATATTCAGTCAAACGCATGGCCAAAAGACGCTGCTTCTGACGTCACTACATGCGACACAAGCTGGGGTCAAAGTGCACAGGAAGTGATGTCGTGGACAGTCCATGGATCCGTCATCGGAAGACGCAACTATCAATTGCGGATCTATAGCACATGTGTGCAAAGACGTGCAATGCATTTTTGTGTGTTTTTTTGGAAACGCGCATTATTACAGACTCATTAGAGGGTGGAAACCGCGCAACATGAGCATGTTGAGGCTTGATCTGCCATGTGCACCGAACGTGATACCTCATTGCGCCATCGGAAGGCGTTACTATCAATCGCAGATCTACAGATCATGTGTGCAAAGACGTGCAATGCATTTTTGTGATTTTTTTGAGAAACGCATTTTGCGCATTTTGTACAGACTCATTAGAGGGTGAAAACAACGCAACATGCGCATGTTGGAGGCTTGATCTGACCATTTTACATCTCTAGTTTTGTATGCAAAAAGAATGATTGAGCTAGCCACTTGGTTTCAGTTTCTATAGGCTGTTAAACAGACACACGCAAACCGGAGCGCCGACGCTCCCGTCGGTCTTAAAGGGTTAATGATCTCAAGGTAGCTGGTACCGCAGTCACCAAGCAAACCACTGGCAACACGCACATGTCCCACCACTCAAGCCCATCTGAAGTTTGCCAATGAACATCTAATGATCTTATGAATGAACATCTCAGAGAAGGCTTGGGAGGAAGTACTCTTCTGCATCAACTTAACTTGCCGTGTTTGGAGGAAGAGAAATGCTGACTGTGACACCAAGAACAGTGGAAACATCGTCCTGTACCCCAAAGAAACTTCACCGTGTTGAGGGGCTGATGGACAGGGCCATGTAGCCTACAGTCAAATCTTGGATGAGAACCTCGTTCCCTCAGCCAGAACACTGAAGATGGGTCTTGGATGGGTCTTCCAGCATGACAATGACCCACAACATACCACCAAGAACACACAGTAGTGGCTCAAGAAGAAGCACATTAAGGTCTTGGAGTGGCCTAGCCAGTCCCCAGACCTAATCCTATACTGAAAATCTGTGGATGGAATTGAAACTTCGAGTTGCCAAGCGACAGCCAAGAAATCTTAAGGATTTAGAGAGGATCTGAAAGAGGAGTTGACCAAAATCCCTCCTGAGAATCAAACCTGGTGACCAATTACAAAAAACGTCTTTCTCCGCCAAGTACTAAGGCATGTTTTGCTTGGGGATCAAATACTTATTTCACTTACTGAGATGCAAATCAATTTATAACCGTTATATAATGTGTTTTTTTTTTGTTGTTGTTTTTTTGTTGTTGTTGTTTTGTTGATATTCTGTCTCTGTCCGTTAAAATAAACCTACCATAAAATTATAGACCCTTAATTTCTTTGTAAGTAGGTGAACTTACAAAATCAGCAAAGGATCAAATAATTATTTCCCCCATATATACTCTCAGAAAAAAAAGGTACAAAAGCTGTCACTGGGGCTGTACCTTTTCAAAAGGTAAACTTTTGTCCATTTTAGGTGCTAATATGTACATTTCAGATGCTAATATGGACATTTTAGGTGCTAATATGGACATTTTAGGTGCTAATATGTACATTTCAGGTGCTAATAAGTACATTTTAAGTGTTAATAGGTACATTTTAGGTGCTAATATGTACATTTTAGGTGCTAATAAGTACATTTTAAGTGTTAATAGGTACATTTTAGGTGCTAATATGTACATTTCAGGTGCTAATATGTACATTTTAAGTGTTAATAGGTACATTTTAGGTGCTAATATGTACATTTCAGGTGCTAATATGTACATTTAGGTGTTAATATGTACATTTCAGGAGCTAATATGTCCATTTTAGGTGCTAATATGTACATTTAGGTGTTAATATGTACATTTCAGGAGCTAATATGTCCATTTTAGGTGCTAATATGTGCATTTTAGGTGTTAATATGTACATTTTAGGTGTTAATATGTACAATTTAGGTGCTAATATGTACATTTTTAGTGTTAATATGTACATTTCAGGAGCTAAGATGTCTATTTTAGGTCCTAATATGTATATTTTAGGTGCTAAAGTACATTTTAGGTGTTAATATGTACATTTTAGGTGCTAGTACCACTAAGGTACCAATATGCAGCCTTGGGTGCAAAAGTGTACCTTTT